CCTCTTGGCTAACTGCTGTATATTTGTTTAGATATGTACACCCTCATCCTTGTAGTATCTTGAGAATGTTTCAGAAGTACATTAAATACACCAAATCTGCAAAAAGTACTTCATTCTTTCCTTGCCAGCCTCATGCTGTTTTAAGTGCGTGTTTGTTGCACTGCATTTTTGCTAGCAAGCAGAGGTGTGTATGTATTTGAAAGTTACTGTAGTTTTTAATTAATATTAGTGATTTTCATTATACAGTTGTGATCTACCCTTCCTGTAAAACTCAGACTTGGATAGCTCTGCTGCATGGTAGCAGTGGATTTATCTGCTGTCCTTATTGCAGGAAATCATCTAATCTCTTTTTAAATACCCATGAACCAAGCCTTTAAGTCCTAAAAAATAAATACTGAAATGTTGAATTTGGGCACACTTTAAAGATTTCATGAAGAATTCCTTTTGTAGCTTATGACAGACTGCCAAATTCTGCTCTTAATAAAAGCTTTCTTAGGGCTGCCTGGGTGTGTTGATTGTATACAGCTCAACTGTAAAGACAGTGATTTTCAGTTTGCCATATGTGGTAGTAACTGACTCTAGCTATACAATAAATACATTATTTTGTTAGAAAAGGAATGGTCCCAATTTGTTTCCTGAAAGTGGTATGTAGATGCAGCCAAGCAGTTTTTTCTGCTTGAAGGTACTGCCCATGTGCTGGAAGTGATTAATTTTTTTTGTTCCTCATTTGGCTAATCAGTTTATCATTTTTTCTGTGTACGCTTGTACTTAAGTTTTTAACCGTCTTTGGTCTGTCTGACTAGAAAGCACAGTGAAGTCCTGACTCTTTCTGCTATATGCTGTGGTAAAACAAATAAGCTTGGAAAAGATATGAAATTGACAACTACAATGCACTTACTTTTGGTTGTACTTACTGAGTTTTTACATTATTCCTGAAATTTCAGTCTAAATGGCTTAATTTTCACGAGATACAATTTTAATACTTAAAGATAGCAAAGCTTTACTATTCCACACACCACAAAACACCATTAGAATTCAGCTTGTCTAACTGCATTTGCATTTATCACCTCAGTCATTTGAAGGGGAGCCATTGGGCACTTAAAATAATTCATTTTGTTTGTGAGTTAATTTCTTTGTAGTTCTGTCCAGTGTGCTCATTAGATAAAGCACATTGATATCTTGGGAAACTTGGTGGTGATTCAAATATACTTAACTGTATTTATTTCCGAAGATAAATACAAATTATTATGGACTACCTAGAAAGAAAATTCCTGACCTTAAGTTGCTTTATTTATTCTCCAGGTATATTTTATCCAGTTGGTCATAAAGGTACGATAAACTGGAGACTCCTATTAGAACAAAAGGTTAAAATAGATGGCAAGAAGATAATACGAACTAAATGTTACATTAATTTTAGCCATAATCCAGTAAGATTTTATAGTATGCATTCTTTGAGGAGCATTCTGATCTAAAGTACACTGTCATATTTTAAAATGTTATACCAAACTTATTTTTTCCCCTTTTCCACTTTTGATTTCAGATTTTTTTAACTTGAAAAATAGAACAATCTGTAATTACAAATTCTTTTGAAAGGTAGTAAATACAAATGCATTAACTTTTATGAAGTACTGATTGTTAAATGGTCACAATCTGCCTTCACATAACTTGGCTCAAAAATGCTGAAATAACCAATCTAAAGGAAGATTCTCAAGTGAAAAACATAACTCCTTAGGCCTTTTGAATGGAGAATAAACTTTGAGGTGAGATGTTCAGCAATTGAGCGGTGTGCTCTGGCATGAAGCTCATTTTGCTTAAGCATGTTGTGGAAACGAATTTTTTGGCATACTTTATATATAAACTTTTGTATAAGGAGTTGGATTGTAATTCTTCTCTTTTCAGTGAAGACAAGTCAAAATAAACTGTAATTGAATTATTGAAATGGCAGGGAAGGCTGGGTAGCAACTGATGGGGTCATTTTACATTGGACCGCAAATGTGAATTGGTTCTCAGACCCATTCCTGAAACTTCAAGTGGTGCATATCCATAGGTGGTTTTACAGAGTATGCATCCAGCATCTCTTGTTAGCTTGTATCAGTCCAAACTTCCTGGATTCTTGAATAGTGAGTGAGCGTGGCCTATGGAAAATACAGAGGTTGGACATTAATCCTTTAGGTTATTGGCTGTTCAGTGCTAGTTTGCTGGCAAACGTTGGACTGTATCATCCCAAAAGTATTTGCTTTCTTAAGAATCCATTCAATGAAGTGTGAGAACTTAATAGAAAGATTGACTAAAAACTTGAAATACTTAATGTCGGGTATAATTTTTCCCATTGGATTGGCTTTTTCTTGCCTTTCGGGACACACCATAAAATATTCTTAGTCTTTGTAGGTGGTCTCACCAATTTGGTTGCTTCGCTGCTAGGAAGAAATCTGTTTTGTTATTAGTTTTGGGGTTTTCCCCATAAAATATTCTAAAAATCATAGCTGTAGGCATTTCAGGGTTGTTTTCACAGTAATCCATGAAACATTGAAATTTATCAAAATTAAGTTGTCTATGTCTAAAATGTAAGTTGTAGAATAGATAAACTGAACATGAAATTTTCATGAAAACAATACTTTTGATTTTAAATGCATGGAAACAAGCCCTCAATGTGTTTGTTTTCAGTGGGATAGATTTAATAGGTCTTTTCCATCTTGAACTTCCTTAAGCTACTGTGAAAATTAATGTAATTTAAATTTGGAGGTATTCCTATTGATGATCTCTGCCTGACTTCTAAAAGCAGTAAGAGATGGGTTTCTTCAGAAAAGCACTTTAGAACAGCAACTATTTTTTCCTAATTGAAGGAACTATTCAGAAAAGTTTAAGTTCAGAGTTAAGCATAGCATACTTAAAGCTAAAACTGTTTTAAAAAACTGCTTTTATATAATGATTATTTTGTACCCAAATCACATTAGAAGGAAAAAAAAATCTTTGTGGGTAAAAGCTTACTGATTTGTGTGTAGTCCCTGAAAGAGAGGGCAAAATGCTCATAATAAGAGGTATGAGATTCAAAAGGAACTTAATGGTGTTACTGCATACATGTGTTGATAAGGTTTTTTTCTGTTTGTTTTGGTAAATGGTTTGTCTAGAGCTTCTGTTGTTCCTAGTTTTACTAGTGTTCTTGTATATCTTAATTTCTGTAGAGTAAAGCATAGCTGTTTAATTTGATTGAAGTTACATGCTAACTGTATGCGGGACGTTAAGTGCTTGACTTGAAAGAAGTCCAGTGAGAATAAAGATACTGTTCTTGCCTTTAATTTTGCAGTAAAAAAAATTGCATAGAACCTTGAACAGGAGTAAGTGTGAAGGGTCCTGTATATAAATGAAAAAAAGATGGGGGAGGGGGGATAAAGTAACACAATAAAAATTGGAGAAATGTGGCTTAATTTTCTATCTACAGCAGACTCACAAAAGTAACTTTAGAGCTTGTTATACATGAAAACCACAAACTAATTTTTAATGCGAAAGATGGAAATACCAGTTACATTAATGTCTTGGATTTTTTTAAACTTTTGAGTTCAGTATTGTGCAGATGGCCAAGGAATATCAGAAAAACTGAAATGAATTAATGTTCAAAAAAAATTTAATATTCATGGGATGTAGGGTGGGGTCACTGCAGTTGGCTATGTTTCTTCTATGTTGTTGTTATGAAATTGTTCTGTAGGACTTGATTTTTGTGGCTGAATACAGCAACTGTATACAGCGTACACACTTCATGTCGTAAGTATGAAACAGCTGATCTTAAGATTGTTAGCCTCTTATCAAACCAGTGAGAATCCGGTCTTACACTTTTATGTCATAGCCAGAGAAGTGCCAGACAGAAGATGGTGTAAAGGAAAATAAAATCGTGAATATTTATTAGTAATTATGGGATAGGATTAAGGTATTTTCATTAGTTTTTTGCCTTAATTTCACTGTAATAAATTTCTTATTTATGTGGAAGGGAAAGTAATTTTATTCTCACTGAATATTTGAAAGAAAAAAACAAAACACCCCTGCCAAGGAAACAAAACAAAAAAACCTAGTTCCTAACCCCCCTCAAGCAAAACAGGTTTTCCCTCTTTAAATAACCACATATACTTAAGCAAGTTGGAAGAGGAAATGTAATAAATCTAAAACCATGTAAAAACCACAAGGCTTTATTGTAATTCTTTTTGCAGCTGTTTGCTCTTGGTGTTTTGGGCATTTTAATGTGTTTCTTTTTTTAAAAGTTCCATTACTGTTCATTATTTGCTGTAAAACGATTTATTCTGCAGCGCTGTTACTAAGCTTAAATATTTTTATCTAGTGTAAAATTGCAGGAAAAAACCCTGCATAAACCTATTGCAGTTGAATGCAGTCTTTGAAGTGCCAGCTGGAAGTGGTCTTTCAAGCTGCTTACAAATGTTTTAAATATTTGTATGCTAATGGGAAGTTTGAAGCCTTTGTGTGTGTATTTAAAATAATAATTCATTACATGCATTGCTGCAGATATGAATAGCCCTTTGCCCTCCTTACTGCTTGGTCCTGCTTCCTGCTGGCTTTGTGCCACCCTTGCACCTCTGTGCCCATACAGTGAGCAGGGTAAAAGAAATCTGGTGAAAATTTTTGATTCTGCTCATTTCAGTGTGGAAGGAAAGAACAGCAAGGAGCGGGCAGTAGAGCAAGATTCTTAATAACTGTGTGGGCATAGGTTAGTTTGTGCTGTATCTATATGCCACATGGAGAATGTAGTTTTTTATGTATGTTCTTATTAAGTGAGTTTGGATGACTTTTAAGTACTTCTAAGAAATATATAGCTTAGAACAAATAGGTAAAAAATATGTTGAGGGCTTTAGATGTCTGAATAGCACGGTTATGTTTTACATTCTTAGTGATAGTTGGCCCAAGAGGGGAAGTATTTGAAGTAATGAAAAAAAAAGTACACTAAAATGTCGAGACAAATTATATGTGAGCTTGATCTGTCTGTTCACTTTCTGCAGTTGCCAAGAAGGTTACATGCAAGCCAGTAAAATATGGAAAATAGTGTTCTTCATGATTTCTCCAGGAAAGATGATATACACAGTTGCTTTAGAGAAGCAAGACTATTCACATGTACTTTTTCTTGGAAGAAAATATGTAAACTGCAATTACAAAGATGGGAAATACTGTCTTTTAAAATGCTAACGTTCTTCATTCTTTGATAAAATAGCACTGCCTTGTTCCATATATTATGTTCCACTTTAAGGGACAGAGCATGTGAAAGGTAAGCTGCAGCTCCAGTTTTAATCAACTTCAAATCAAAAGCCTTTTCCAGAAGGCACAAAAGGAAAACTTTAATAATGAAAGAGTAGTTCATCTTCAGTTTTCTTCCAGTGTGGAACATTGTGCTTCTAGAACTTCCAGCATTGTATCAGTAGCAGTTCCACATCTGACATTTTCAGAACCAGAGCTGTGCCAAATAAGACAAATAAAGTTTCTGCCTTAGTGTGTGAAGAATGCAATTATTACATTTAAAAAATTGAATATTCAGAGTTTTGAAAGAAAATGTATGAAATAATTGTCATATATTGAATTACTGGTTTAAAAGTGAAAATTATGTCATCTTGGCAGATGGGATGGTTATGCTTTTAGAACCATTTTGGTATATGTGCCAGTTTATTGTTGCCATGTTATGCTTTGTGTAGTTTTTGTAATATCACTTAATGCATGTTCAGCATCATTCTTGCATCACAGTTGTGTACAGTTTCATATTTTTTCACACTGCTGAATGCAAATGTCTGTAGAACGGGGGTACTAGAGCATTTGTTTAGTATTATGTAACTTGTTCAAGAGGGATTTTCATTGCTAAGCTTGCTTTCTGTTTTGTGTTCACTCTGCATGTTTTGTGCAAAAAACACTTTTTTCTATTGCATATGGGGAAAAAGTAGTAAGTCATGAAAATGTGTTTATTAGGAAGGTAAATTGAAGTCCTGGATGCCTCTTACTGTTTCTAAAATGACAGCTGGCTCAGGAGAATAAAATCACTTGGTATACTTTCATGCATGATTACATCTAGGTTTTTTTTCCCTGCTTATGGCCCACTTTAGTATTAATGTTCAAGATAAAAAAAAATTCTGAGTTTAGATTCCATAGGTAATCTGGTTTTAATCACAAGCATGTGTACAAGACAGTAAATTAATCGCAAATGACTTGATGTTTGCTCTGAATAGTGCTGTAACTCCCGAAGTTGTATTAAACCTAAAAAAAAAATAGTTTGAGTTTCATCATTTTTAAAGTGAAACTTTAAAAATTGTATTGAGTGAGAGTAAGCCAGTCCACTGGGGGTGGGGGAAAGTACAAATCTGTGGAGAAATGATGCTCTTGTTTTGAGTTGTATTATGTTACTGGGTATGCATATTTTACTCTTTAAATTGGGACCATTGTGCAAAACTGTTTGTTATAAAGACTTAGTGAGAAATATAATTTGTCTTATTTTACCCAGTTACAAGCATTAATTCATTGTTAGCATCTTAAAAATAGAATTGGTTAGATTAGGCACATGTACTTTACTGGAGATGGTGGCGTGTTAGTATGAATATCAGAAATAGGATAATTCAAGTGATGGTCGTTACCGAAGACTGATATATTGTGCCTTTAAGCCTAGTTGGATAAAAGCTGATCTTGAGCATTATTCTTACTACCTTTGAAATAAATTCTTTCATATATCTTTTTCTTATTCCAGTTAACCCTAAACCTGAATTTCCCAGGTGACTGATATTTTTGGGAAATAAATACTGGTTTTAAAACTGTGTGCCCAGAACCTCGATACTGTATTTGAATTTCTGCTTTATTGCTGTAGTAGTCACAGAAGTACTCACAGGTTTGAAAGTGTTCATCTAGCTTTTGGGGGAGGGTAAGGGATTGATTATTGTATGTTGCTTAATTCTTGAGGCCTTAGGTGGGAAAACTGGTAATGTAGAATCTTCTTAATATTATTGTTTTAAAAAAAATTAAAAAATAATCAAAATTGTTTAAAAATCTGGTATCTTCAAAACTGCCCTGTGTTGAGGAAGCTGAATGGTGTATCTTTAAAGAAGGTGGGAAAACTTTATTTTACTAGAGGTCTTATGTATTTATCAAGTATTTGAGCTCTAAATCTTTCACTGATCTGACACTGAGGACATTGTGACTCAACCCTAACCTTCACTTAGTATTATGGTGAAAATTCTGCAACCTTCTGCAAAGCTTTAGAAGTGATGTGAGGACGTAATGTGAGATACTAACTATAGGATTGGGCCAAATCATTCATCTTTGAAGATTGTCACTGGCCTGCTCTGGGTATCCCTATCCATTCCATTTAGGACTTTGTTTCCTATTCTGTATTCCGGGTTTTCTTTTATTGTAAAAGGCTTTAACTTTCCCTGATGATGTGCAAGATAAGAGCTGTATAAAACTTTATTTGGGGGTTGTAATACTAAACTTGATGGAAGTGGGTTAAAGGAAAGAATCAGGTGTCAGATGCACAGTAAAAACAGTCCCTTATATGATTTGGCAAGTCATTACATACCTCCCCGTATGTGGTTTTTTTAGTATATGAATATCATGTATGTATTCTTAACCTGTCGTGTCTTTGAATTTATGGCTTTTCCTAAGAGGGAAAAGAAAGACTTTGTTCTGGATTAATTTAATTTTAAAGTTTCTCTTTTGTGTAAATCAATACACAATAATTGACAGAATACGTAAGAACTTAAAAAAAAAGGTACCCTTTCTTGACTCATAGGTGTGTGGAAATACTAATATGGAAAAGTAAAAGTAGATAAGTACTCTTCATGGATTTACAGACAGGGGAGATAGTAATGTGGAAAAGCATGGAAGATGGGGTTTGACCTCATCTTTCAGTTTTTCTTCTAAGAATTTGGAAGCTACTATAGCTACCAAAAAACCCAAATATGACTCTTGATAAACTTCATCTAAAATTCTTACATGTTGTTTCAGAGTTCTGCTATAAATGAAACTAGTTCAATGTAAACATGCAAATAAAATACATGCTTTAATGGACAAAATAAGTCTGAGTTTCATTAAGATATGGAGAAGAGTAATGTTATTGGGGAGTTGGCTGTATTTTCTCATATTTTTAGGCTTTGTCTACGTTAAAGGAACAGAGGTGGAACTTTAATGACATGCAGGGAAAGGCTAAATATACAAGACAAAATTGTGCGGGGAAAGGACTGAAGTTCAAATAGGTATAACTTTACACTTTTACTTTACCGATCCTTCCAATAGAGGACTTCTGTCATGAGTTTAGAGAGCTCCTGCTTAAAAACAAATGCTGGCCAAATCTGGTCCTGCTCTTATTTGCAGGAAAATGTCATCATTGCCTTGATTGTGACAAAACGAGAACAGGACTATCAGGATTTAAGTTTATGAAGAACATAATGATCTTGCCACAGTGATAAATCTGAGTAGTTGAACGGCCAGCTGCTGATTGTGTACAGCTACACGACTGTCATAGCCTTCCCAGGATTTTGAATGTGGTAGTGCCTTCGGTTGTTTCAGCAGTTGCTTCACCTGCCTCAGTTAATGAAGTTCCTTTATGGCTACAAGGATGCTTTTCAAAGTCTTCGTCTCCTGCTTAGCAAATTTCATTCACATGGTGGCAGCTACTGCAGTTGGGCGTTGAGGGTGGTATAGTCATGGAGCACTTAAATCTACATTTGCTCTTGCCAGCTACAGTTGTCTTTAGCTTACCACCTTTTCAGTCATTGCAGTGCACTTTCCTGCATTATAAATGTGGTATTCTCAATGAGGTATTGACGTGAGCAAGCGTGAGTAGAAACTTAACAACTATTATATACAAATTTTCAAAAAATACAAACTGGTTACACTGTTAACTGTCAATGACACAAATCCTCTGATAATTCAAGGTGTGTTACAGAAAATGAATCTTTTGGATGATTCCCTAGTTTCGTAATAAAGATGCGAAGCCCTGGTTCTATCTCCAGGTGCTGAAGGTTCATCTTTAAACTACTTGGGTATCTGCATTTATTTTAGTTTACACAGTGTGGTGTAAACCAGAATGACTCAGAATTAATGTATAAGTATACCCTGTCAGAGCATACTCCGCAATCAGATGCTGATCAGTTGTGAGATTTTGCAGAGCTCAGAATGAAAGTAAGTTGACAGAAATAGGATGTTAAATTTAAGATGGAAATAAAGTTACGAGAAGTCAAGAACAAGGTTGAGCATAATAGGAGAGCAAACTGTGAGCTCTTTGGAGATGGTCTGTAAAAAGTAGTGGAAGAATTTGATGACAGGTAAATGTTCTGTTAACCTTTCAAAGAAATGGATGCATCAGTATGCAGAACTTCGGTTTGAAATGCGGACTTCGCTGGAGAAGCTGTTACTTGCTTATGTGGAGTTTCAAGACATAGCAAATAATGCTTGTAGTGTGTTAGAATGGATGTTTTTTCCTTGTGTACATCTGAAGTCACAAACAGGTAACTGAAGTAACAACTTTTATGTTCTAGTCTGTGTTCATAACCATTTTCTCATTAATGTATTGATATTTACAGATTTGTCACCTGGCATGATTTTGAAAACTTATTTTTAAATGCGTATTTTTAATGTGAGAATTATAGTATAAGCTTGCATCTTGAAATCTCATTGAACCGTGATGAAAAATAGTGCCAACAGTCAGTCTCTTTGATTTGAAATATTTTAGTCTTGAACACGATGCCAACTGACTGCCTTTGTACGTGAGATGATAACAAAAGGAAGTTCCCTGTTTCTTACCATGTGGTCTTTGCTTAGTCCTGTGCAAATGTGGTTTCATCATTAAGGCCTTCGTTGTTCTCGAGTGAAGAAAGTTGTAGCCAACTGGAGTGTCTTTTAAGGGGAGGTAGATGGTGGAAGGGTTAATTTTAATAGTATTCCTAACACACACTTGAGATGCCTAATAGTTAAATCTGTTATTCAAACTTGTAATTATTCCTAATACAATGCTTTTTAGTCCTCTTCATTACACGTTAGCAGGTACTTCCTTAGCTCTATGTATATGAGAGCTGAGGCTTAATGCTTTTTCTAATGTTTGATACTCACTTAGAAAGCTTTTTCACTTTGGGTAGGAACAATAACTTTATCCTACAGGTAGTAGCCACTTCTACTAAAATAAGGAAAGTAAAATGGTACTAGAAAGTTGAGATAAATCTTACTTAGTGCAGCATCAGGATTACGTCCAAATGTACAAGTGAAGTACAAAAAGCCGAGTTGGAGTCCCAGCTTGCCACATGATGAAGCTTCTATAACAGTAGCAAGTAGAGAATCTCTGCTGTTCAGTTTTATGCAGTTGAGTTCACCACATGTTCTGCCTTAAAAAGTTTCACAGGTTCCTTGGTGGTGTTATGCACAACTTTTAGCCCAGATCTGAATAGTAATCTGCTTAGACTGGGCAAGTGCAGGCTTGGTTTGTTGCAAGGACTAGTTACGCCTTATTGAAACAGATATGTAAATGCCTTCATCTCTGCAAAACCCAAGTTTTCATGAGAAATGGTACTTTTATTCAACATTGCTTTGTGGCTTTTTTTCATAAACAGGTAAGTCTTCATGTCAGTGGACCACTATGTGATAGTCTTTGCAGGATACCCTGCAGTTTATTAATGCTGTTCTGTTGTCTTTGTCTTGAAATACAGATTCCATTTTCTGTGTATTTCAAATCTAATGTAAGATTTTTCTTTTTTCTACCAAATGTGGCTTTATTATGGTGGAAGCTAGAAATTGGTGTTCTGTATTTTTCATAAAGTAATTGGAGATAAAAATTGTTACCCAGCAGAGTTAGCACAGGAAGGAAATTACTTAACTGCATAATGAATTACTGAATCTTTTGACAGGACCAGAGGCAGTGAGCACAAACTGAAACACAGGAGGCTCTGTCTGAACATCAGGAAACACATTTTTAATGTGAGGGGTGACCGAGCACTGGCACAGGTTGCCCAGGGAGGTTGTGGACTCTCCATCCTTGGAGATGTCAGAAGCTGTCTGGACAGGGTCCTGGGCATCGGCTCTGGGTGGCCCTGCTTGAGCAGGGGCTTGGACCAAATGATCTATAGAGGTCCCTTCCAACATTAACCCTTCTGCAATTCTGTCATCTAAATAAAGCTTTGACTTTATTGAACTTCATATGAAGTAACGTTAAAACATTATTACATGCTTAGGTATTTGAATGCTTCCTTACTAGGTTTCATTTCAATATAGATGTACATATTGTTTAGTATTGTTTAATTTTACATTTTCATATGAAGCACTTCAGAGATGAAAGCTCTTTGAATCTTGAGCTGTTGCTCCTTATAAGGACCGTGCGACCACAGCTTGCCCTGCCCTTTCCCCCAGCACAGTGTTATGGCTTCAGAGATTTTAGCCCCACAATGATAATAAATTCTGCTGTCATTATTTTGGAAGAGGAGGTTAGGACACTGGCCTAACTTGGCACCTGCTGCAAAAATGACAGGTAAGGAATCCTACAGGAGGGAATGGGGAGCATTGTGTGAAGTTGTGTAAAGCAGCATTGCTAACACTTCAGAAGTAAATGTGCTGTGTATCAGCAAATTTCACAATTCCTTAGGAATGCCTTTTTTAAAAAATTGGAGAAAGTTGGATTATGCACAATCCAGGAAGTTTCCCATGAAACTAGATCCCCCCTAGTTTTTGGAAGATCCAGAATATCCTCAAACTAGTGAGGTCATCATGTCTCAACTATATATAAGTATTTTTCTATAATACACAGTTTATGCTGATTTTTCTCTAGTCTTAAAACTGTAAAATCGGAGAAAACTGTCTCTTAGGCTTTGCCTGTACACATTTTTGCTACCTTAAATTTTAAAAAATTATTTTGAAATAAAACTAAATGAAACTATGCCTATTTAAATGTCTAAAATTTTCTTAGTGGTTCTCCCATCTCAGATTGCATAGTTGTAAACTTGTTGCACAGTGTATAGTGAAATGGTATCCTGACTTCTGTTAAAAGTAGTAGAGCAATACTGATGGTACTTAATACTAGCTGTGCTGGTTTAACTGTATCTTGTTTACAACTGACTTTTCTAAACTTGTTTCAAACTCTGTACATAAACAAGCCATAAATTTCTGTGATCCGTGAACTCACTGAGAATTTCTAGAACCTGACATAAAACAAGCTCATGAAATTTTAACTAACTTCCAGTGCTGAGTGATGCAATTGTTTCAGATGCTTTTGTTCTGTCAGGTTTCTTAAGTTTTCTTTGTTAATTGGTAAAGTCACATCTATACATCATTATTTCTAGGTGAAAGAGATCATGAGAGTCAAAGGTTATTCCCTTGCTCCTTCAACAGTTTTGTACTTAGCTGTTCATGATAAGGTAAAGTATCACAAAATGCTTAGGAACTTTGCATCCCTGTAAAAGGGCATGTGAGTTCTGAACGGAGAAGATGATACTGTTGCTTGGATGCTTTTCCAGGCTGCTTGGCATGAACACAATCATTAAAAGTAGAAATCTGAACATCTGAAGCCATTTCTGCTGCATTAATGACAACATATATAGAATGCATAATTAGAAAATCACTGTCTGATAAGCCAGCTATTCTGGTGCTGCAGATTGCTCAACTTGACATGGGAATGTTAATGAGCAATGTA